GTACACATCCGCATCTCCAGCTCGAAAATCGCAACGTTGTAGTACAAGTCTAGTACGCGAAGTACACTTCCGCATCTGCAGCTCGAAAATCGCAACTTTGTAGTACAAGTCTAGTAAGCAAAGTACACTTCCGTAGCTCCAGCTCAAAAAGCGCAACTTTGTAGTACAAGTCTAGTACGGGAAATCTCCAGCTCGAAAAACGCAACTTTGTAGTACAAGTCTAGTACGGGAAGTACACTTCCGCATCTCCAGCTCGAAAATCGCAACTTTGTAGTACAAGTCTAGTACGGAAGTACACTTCCGCATCTCCAGCTCGAAAATCGCAACTTTGTAGTACAAGTCTAGTACGCGAAGTACACTTCCGCATCTCCAGCTCGAAAATCGCAACTTTGTAGTACAAGTCTAGTACGCGAAGTACACTTCCGCAGCTCCAGCTCGAAAATCGCAGCTTTGTAGTACAAGTCGCGTACGCGAAGTACACTTCCGCATCTTTAGCTCGAAAATCGCAACTTATAGTGCAAGTCCAGTGCACGAAGTACACATCCGCAGCTCCAGCTCGAAAATCGAAACTTTGTATATTACAAGTCTAGTACGCGAAGTGCACTTCCGCCGCAACTTTGTAGTACAAGTCTAGTACGCGAAGTACACTTCCGCAGCTCCAGCTCGAAAATCGCAACTTTGTAGTACAAGTCTAGTACGCGAAGTACACTTCCGCATCTCCAGCTCGAAAATCGCAACTTTGTAGTACAAGTCTAGTACGCGAAGTGCACTTCCGCATCTCCAGCTCGAAAATCGCAACTACGCGAAGTACACTTCTGCAGCTCCAGCTCAAAAATCGAAACTTTGTATATTACAAGTCTAGTACGCGAAGTACACTTCTGCAGCTCCAGCTCGAAAATCGCAACTTTGTAGTACAAGTCTAGTACGCTAAGTGCACTTTCGCATCAGCAGCTCGAAAATCGCAACTTTGTAGTACAAGCCTAGTACGCGAAGTACACTTCCGAATCTCCAGCTCGAAAATCGCAACTGTGTAGCACAAGTCTAGTACGCGAAGTGCACTTCCGCAGCTCCAGATCGAAAATCGCAACTTTGTCGTGCAAGTCCAATACGCGAAGTACACTATCGCAGCTCCAGCTCAATAATCGCAACTTCTCAGTACAAGTGTGGTATTTACGAAGCACACCTTAGCAGCTTACGGTGGCCACTCCAGGGTCCCACCCTAACTAGGTTGCAACTGCAGGGGTTATTAAAGAGCCGTGTGTTAGTTAAGGGTTATCGTTTTTGGGGGAGACCTTATCGTTTTTTATGGTTTTGGCATGTTTTATGCAAAAAAGTACCCCGCCTTGATAAAGTGGTCTTCGTGTGTTTTGTCCGTGGCTCATATATATTATATTCATATTTCATTCAATTGTTGAGTTATATAGGTTTACTAAAAATAATAGGCTCAGGTGACATTCCCGACAGCATGCAGTGCTCTTTTTAGTGCTCGCACCACTCCGCAGCCCTTGCACAACCTCGCGAAACTCTCGTGGAACCTTTGTGGAACCCTGGTGGAACCCTGATGGAACCCTGGTGCAACCCTGGTGGTGCACCCCAGGGCTGTCCCGAACTCCCCAAAGCCTACCTGGGCTGAGACCCCAAAGCTTTCAGCTGTTGGGAAATTATATGTATAAACAACTACACCCAAAAACCTAAACCCTACATGGGTTTCAAACACAGTTTCAAACAACAGGGGCAAACACCCTGCTTGAGAAACGCAATGTTGAAGGCAAAAGATAAATCATGTTTGGTGACAATTTCGCGAAGAAACCGTTTTTATGGAGCCGGGGCAAGGGGGGCGTTTTGTCCGAGGCTCTGCAAACCCACCAGCAGCTGCATGTGCGCGATGGCAGCTACCTCAGATTCCAAGTCGGTCATGTTGTTGTTTTCTTTTGAAGCCACCCTTCTACGTCCTCCCTAGAACCGAGAGGAAAACAAGGCGGAGCCGCAGCTGCACTCGCCTGTGCCCATTGCATAGAGCCGACTTTTGACGCGCCAGCACCTGCAAGTAGCATCGCTCGCTTGGAGCAACCTTCTGTGGCTGCGCTGATCGTGTCCTGTTTTGGAGCACGGGCCAATTGTTCAGCAAGTGTCAGTCTTGTGGGCCGAAACCTTTTTCAATATGTGCGGGGGCGCCACAAAGGGCTGCGTTTGCCAGACGGCATGGGCTTATAATCATCCAGCCGTCCCGGTCATTTCTTGACCTTGCCAGCGGCGATCATTTGCGTGCAACGGTTTTGTGGCGCCCGCGGGCGTCAAACGCCTGGCCTGGGCCCATTTTTCTGTTGGGCTTGCGGACGTCAAATGCAGGCCCGGGCCGCGCAGGAGCGCGCATGGATCTTCTGATTAGTGATTTGGTGGCTTTCTAGTTTCACCAGGGGTAACTGATACCTTACCTGACTCTCACTGGGCTCCTTGGGCAATTGACCCCGTAAGAACAGATCAGGCCAAGCAGTGGCTTGGTGAAACCCAAACGGTAACCAATCACCAATCAAGACACAAAAACAACATATGAAAGCATGAAAGCGACTGTAAAGCAGTCAAGTAACACAAGAAAGCACAACACCAAACAAAAGCAAACTAAACAAGTGAACACATTCAAACTAATAAAGGCCAAACAAGCCCAATACAAACCAGGAAAATAATGTCCACAAAAGCCGTCCACCAAAGAAACCCAAAAGAGGCTTGTTTGGAGCCCGAGGGCCTGGCTGGGGGACAGGACCATGCCGTCTCCTCCCAGACATCTGGAGCGAGGCGTGGCCATGTCACGAAATGATCAGAATGAACCTCTGGATGTTCAAAGGGAACCCCCCAAAAAAGCTCTGTACCAATTGGAAGTGCACTTTCAGAAAGCCATGGGCGTTTGCCGAAGTCGGGCTTCTCCCAGCCGCCCTTCTATGCTGCATGGGGTTGGGATGCGTGGGCTGTTCAAGATGCTCTCTCAATCCTGTTGCATCTGAAATCCAGCAGAGAGACCACTGCAAGAGGGATCAACACCTTTCACAGCCCAAGGAAAGGATCCAACTGTGAGAGGATTCCCACTGACTTCTGCACGGGGTGACTCTTCCCTGGTATCACTGCGCAGTTGAACAATCTGGACAAGGTAGGCGCGCATGAAAGGACTTGCGTGCTTTGCGAAAGCAAAAGCCTAAAACGAAGAATTACCGGCGCGTCCATGACAGTGCCCTCAAGTTGTGCTGTTTTACAGACTAGGAAACTAATTGACGGTCAAACGAAAACAAGAAAACAAAGATGACCTTAATCTCAGTTGCCCAAAGGACCTGGAACTAAAAGGTTAACCTTTTAACATGGACGATGGGGAAACCAACGGGTTGAAGGGTCGACTCGCTTTTAACGAGCAAAGAAAGATGCAACCCCAGGGCCTCAACTTCACCGTTTCCCCTTTTCTGAGAGCCCCGGGCGCCCGCAGAACTCGAAGGTGGCTGGTCGCGCCCCCCACCTTCTGGTTCGATGGCAATCGACATTTTGGGTCACTCCGGATGGGTTCTGGCCAAAAACTTCCGGCCATGGTGCGAGCAATCGTTGAAAATGTCTTTTTGATTAACCTGTCGAGTTCGGGAAATGTGTAAACCTTCCGATTCAACTTGGGTGCCTTTCACTAGGAAGGGGGGAAAGCTTCCCCTCGGGGGAAAAAATATAGCACAGTAGATCACAAACCTGCATACAGCTGATGTGAGGCCGGCGCTCCCGAAGCTCTGGTTTTGGCTTCCGGCTTGGGTGCTGAAAGCTTGGGCTTGGGTGCAGCTTCGGCTCGGTCTGGGCAATCATGCAACCGCTAGAGCAGTTTCCCAGGATTCCACCTTGAAACATCACCCCACAAGGCAACTCACCTTAAATTGGCCTGAAAGGCAACTCACCTCTGGAAAGGTCAAAAATACACATCATCTTGTAATTTCCTTTTGGGGAACATCTGGGTCAATTATAATATGTCACCAACCTGAAATAAGGTGGTTGGGGGGCTATTCCCCACATAAACCACCATTTGGGGTGAGGTCATGTGAGGTCGTTATAATTTACCCAGGAACGTCAAGAAATTGGGCCATGTGGCACCCAGACTGCCCGCGCCTCGTCTCCCCGAAGGGCAGCACGGTGTCGTGCAAGAAGTGGCCGCTGCGATATCGCGGCAGCCCAGCGTCGCCTGCCAAACGCCCATCCGCCGGAGGGGCTTTTGGGGTCAAATCGGCGGATTCCCGGATTCCGTTTTGTCTGCTGGTCAGCAGGAAATGAGGGAATGACTCTTATGAATCAGAAAGACAGCCCTTCTGCGGGCCCATCTCAGGTTCTATATTTCTTTACTCAGTTCAAAGCGACTCCACGCTTTAACTTTGTGGCTTTCCCACTTTGGTCCATACTCATGGCCCCAAAAGGTTCACCTTTTAGTTCCAGGTCCTTTGGGCACGACTTCCGATTTCCTCCTCTCATTTCCTTGCACTTCCTTGCATTTCTTCTTTGCTCCCAGTATTTCCCGCGAAAAACACCGGTTTTCCAGCGTTTTCGCAAAGAGGACGTCAAAAAACACAGAGTTGAGGCAGGACACTCAAACCAGATACTTTTTTCTGGGGTGTACTCTTCTGGTGTTAAGAGCGAACCCCACCCCCCCCCCACCCCAAAAAAACAAAAAAAAACGACACACCCAACTACAGCCAGCTGGAAATTGCGGTGGTTCACAGGGTTTGCCATTCCCACTTGTAACATACGTACATGTTGCCTTGTTGGGGGAATTAGTTCAACTGGGGACTGTTAACTTGCACGAGCTCAGGCCTTTTTTGCAATCCACAGCAAGAAGCGTTCCACGCTTCCCAAAACGGCTGTGAGTGCAAGTTGCAGGAACGAAGCGCTCTCGATCAAACTGGGGCATGAAAACGGCGGCTCACTTGGGGCAATAGCAGCCCCCAAGTGAGCTGTCGTGTTCATGCCCCAGTTTGATCAAGCACGTTTCGTTTCTGCAACCTGTACTCACAACCGTTGTTGGAAGCCAGGAACGCATCTTGCTGTGACAAGGCCTTGCAACAAGGTCGGGAACCGAGCTCGACTTTCCAAACCCAGGGTTGAAATTGAACAAAGTTGGGCTAACGTCAGTTTCTGCGCACCCGTAGCGCCATATGAAGAAACTCGGTTCATTTGTTGAGACCCCGTAAATTGGAAGAGTTCTGAGAATAGGGGGGGCATGAGTGTGCCGCGTTTGGTGCAAACAGTCCCAGTCTCCAATCTCATCACCGAGATGGGTGATAGGAGGCAGCAGCAAACATGTCAAGACTCACGACTCCTCGGTTTTTTTCTTCGAACTGAGTCCGCTAAGTTCCAACCAATTTCAAACTTCGACAGTTTCTCCAAACTCGGGCTGTTGCGATTGGACTTGGAGAATCTCCGAACTATGGCCCGTTGTCTCCAAACTCAGTGAGGGTTTGGAGATACTCCAAACTCAGGCTCATAATCTCCAAACTCTAGCCTCTAGCCAATTTCTCCCAACTCAACCTGAGTTTGGGGAAACTCAGGCTCGAGTTTGAAGATTTCCAAATTCGGGTCCGAGTTGCCAAACCCAGGCCCGTTTTCCCCCAACTCAGGCCCATTGGGGCCTGCGTTCACTCTTTAAAGTCAGGCTCCTTTTCTCCAAGTTCAGCCTTGTTTTCTCTAACTCAGCCCGTTTTCTCCAAACCGTGGATGACTTTGCAGATTCTCTAAACTGAGGCATGTGTTCTCCAACAACTCAGGCCCGAGTTTCGAGAATCTCCAAGCGCGCCGCCCGAGGTTGGAGAAAACGGACCTGAGGTTTGAGATTCTCCAAACTCGAACTGAGTATCGAATTTTGGCAAACTCGGGCCCGAGTTTGGAGAAAAAGGGCTCGAGTTTGGAGATTCTCCAAACTCAGGCCCGTTTTCTCCAAACTCGGGATGAGTTTGGAAATTCCCCAATCTCAGACAGATTTTCTCCAAACTTAGGCCTGCGTTCGGAGATTCTCCAAACTCAGTTCGGAGATTCTCCAAACTCAGTTCGGAGATTCTCCAAGCTCAGTTTGGAGATGCTCCAAACGCCGGCCCATTTCCTCCAAACTCGGGTGCGTTTGCAGATTCTGAGATTCTCCAAGCTCGGGCCCGAGTTTGGAGAAAACGGGCCTGAGTTTGGAGATTCTCCAAACTCGGGCCCGTTTTCTCCAACCTCGGGCTGAGTTTGGAGATTCTCCAAACTCCAAATTTCAATGTGTTTTTCTCCTGCAGAACGCTTATTTTGCCTGACAATCTCCATCCGAACGCTTATTTTCTCCACCAAAACACTTGCCGAACGCTTCTTCGCGTGTTTCACAAAATGAGTTTGGAGAAAACGGGCCTGAGTTTGGAGATTCTCCGAACTCGGGCCCGTTTTCTCCAAACTCGGGGTGAGTTTGGAGATTCTCCGAACTCGGGCCCGTTTTCTCCAAACTCGGGGTGAGTTTGGAGATTCTCCAAACTTAGGCCCGTTTTCTCCAAACTCTGAGTCCAAACTCTGAGTTTGGAGATTCTCCGAACTCGGGCCCGTTTTCTCCAAACTCGGGGTGAGTTTGGAGATTCTCCGAACTCGGGCCCGTTTTCTCCAAAATCGGGGTGAGTTTGGAGATTCTCCAAACTTAGGCCCGTTTTCTCCAAAACTCTGAGTCCAAACTCTGAGTTTGGAGATTCTCCGAACTCGGGCCCGTTTTCTCCAAACTCGGGGTGAGTTTGGAGATTCTCCGAACTCGGGCCCGTTTTCTCCAAAATCGGGGTGAGTTTGGAGATTCTCCAAACTTAGGCCCGTTTTCTCCAAAATCGGGGTGAGTTTGGAGATTCTCCGAACTCGGGCCTGTTTTCTCAAAACTCGGGCTGAGTTTGCGGATTCTTCAAAGTCAGGCTTGTTTTCTGCAAACTCAGGTTCAGTTTAGAAGTTCTCCAACCTCGGGCCCTGTTCCTCCATTTTCCAAACTCGGAGAGCTTCTTGGCTTCGTACAAAGAGTTTGGACTAACCAGGACTGACAAGTCTTCTTCAAACTCAGGCCCATTTTCTGCAAACTGGAGCCTGCGTTTGGAGATTCTCCAAACTCAGTTCGTTTCTCCAAACTCGGCCCGAGCTTGCTCCAAACTCAGTCAGGGCTGTTTTCTCCAAAGTCGGCTTGAGTTTGGATAATCTTCACGCTCAGGCCCGTGTTTTGCAAACTCGCCTGGCTTTGCGTGCGAAGACGCGTTTCGCAAATGTATTGGTGGCGACTATCCGTTTTTCGATGGAAATTGAATGGGTCAAACAAGGGTTTTGTTTGGTCAATATAGACAAGACTAAGTTCGGCAAATCTCGAAACTCAGGCTGAGTAAAGGCCAACTTTAGGGACCCCCAAATTGATTTCTCAGGGCTGAGTTAGGAGAAAGCGAGCTTGAGTTTGGAGAGCTTGGAACATCTCCAAGCTCAGGCTAAGACGTGGAGAAAAGCAAGCCTAAAATTGGGGCACATTCCAAACTCATCCATATTTTTGGAAACCTGAAGGCGAACATACAAGCGAGCATTATCCTCAGAAATCTGCAACTCCCCAAGGAAAAGGGCTGCGCCATCGTGATGTAGTCACTTGCATTACCCTATTCCGGAACACTGCTCGGATCAAACGGGAGCAGCGCTTCCCGAGACAAGCTTGCTAAGGTATGTCCGCATGTTTTGACAGAGATTTGGAGTCCTTGTTTGGCGTGTGTTTTGCTGGCACAAGGCTTGATTGGCCCGGATAGCATTGAAACGGCATGCTGTGGCATGGTCCAAGCAGTCTTGGCGCCTTTGTGTTGTTTGGTTGCAAAAACGTAATCTGAGCTACTTGAGGCACTGGAAGAGTGGTGGTGTGCGCTATTTTTTCTGAAACCCTTGGAACGCTTCTGCAAACTATTCCCCGGGACCTCGCGCAAGTTAACACTGGGGACCTATTGAAATGTTGGTGGACATCCAGCGAGAATTACGTCCCCGCGTTGCGATTCGCGTGCCCATGGCCAAAAGCTGCGCGTTGCTGACGGCAAGAGGTCGATTTTGGACTGAGGCTGGCCTTGGCGAAGGGATTCGCGAAGGGGAAACCTGTTTGAGGTTGCAATACCGCGGCTATTTCGATCCGCCACCACAAGTTCTAGATTTCTAGGAACCCTGCTGACGGTGCATTCGGAATGCCCCACTTTGAATGGACCAATCCCGCATTTTGAGAACAACAGGTTCCCTCTCAACATGCTGGGGACGCTAGCCCTCCACTGGTGATCTATAACATTCACAAGCCAAGCACCCGTAGAATACCCATGGCAACCAGCTGCAGCTTGCTTTCGCTAGTGTTTCTCACGTCCTGTTGGTAAGGAAGGCGAGGTGATTCCTGATCAGGGATTGGTGCGGCTATCGGGCTGGATCGCTGCCACAGTCCCTGCGCGTGTCACCCGGGAACGCGGCGTAACCGAGTCGTCACCAGAACCCGCTGGATAAGGCTCGAGCATGCGCTGGGGAAGAATGGGCTGACAGGGTCATTCACTATTAAACTTCCACGCAAAACACAAACGGGGAGAACTCACATCTGCATATTTGTCTGCATGTACCTGATTTATGTAGGCGTGAACACCTGTAGACCTGTATACGGATGCAGTCGTGGCATAGCAGCACTCAGCCATTTGCATGCCCACCTCGCATGCAACATATAAATATATAATATAAAACATGCAGTCGCACATGCATTCACACTTCAAGCCATACCGCACATGCCAATGATCCAATGCACTTGCCACGTACCAATGTGCGCCACCCCGCCCGGCCGATTCCGAGCGGAACCTCTGCGCATCTGGTCCGCGCTGCAGAAGGCGCGGGTCCGCGGCGAGTGCGCCGTGACACGTGCCTCAGCCAAATGCCACGCTGCCAGCGAGTTCGAGAAAATGCCTGAAACATAATATATATATATATATGTATGTATATATATATATATATGTTTATCTATTTACTTGACTTGATTTAGTTATATGTGTTCATTCATTATTTAGTTATTTGTTTGTGTATCTATTTATTTGTATGCAGTTGATTATCCAATTATTTACGTGGTAGTAACTGCCGACTTCTCATTTCGCTAAATCCCTGCGGGCACGTTCCCCCAACTGGTAGACCTAGGCAGCCGTGCGAGTTCATCAGAGTGAAAAAGAACAACCCGCCCTGAACCAATCCCTGGACACCGTGAGCCACAATCAAAGCCTGGCATGAAAAAAAAGAGTACCCAAGCCAATGTAAAAAGAAGTGCAGAGGCGGCTGCAACTACTTCTGGCTGGGACTTTCCCTGACTAACCTTACTAACCTTCAGGAACTAACCTTACTAACCTTCAAGAACTAACCTTACTAACCTTCACGAACTAACCCTACTAACCTTCACGAACTAACCTTCCTAACCTTCACAAACTAGCCTTACTAACCTTGAAAAGCTTCACGACCTAACCTTACTAACCTTACTAACCTTCACGAACTATCTTTGCTAACCTTGCTAACCTTCACGACCTAACCTTACTAACCTTACTAACCTTACTAACCTTCACGAACTAACCTTACTAACCTTATTAACCTTCACAAACTAACCTTACTAACTAACCTTCACAAACTAACCTTACCAACCTTACTCATCTTCACAACCTAACCTTACTAACCTTACTAACCTTCACGAACTAACCTTACTAACTAACCTTCACAAACTATCCTTACTAACCTTGCTAACCTTCACAACCTAACCTTACTAACCTTACTAACCTTCACGAACTAACCTTAGTAACCTTGCTAACCTTCACAACCTAACCTTACTAACCTTACTAGCCTTCACGAACTAACCCTTCACGACCTAACCTTACTAATCTTACTAACCTTCACGAACTAACCTTACTAACCTTACTAACCTTCACAACCTAACCTTACTAACCTTACTAACCTTCACGAACTAACCTTACTAACCTTGCTAACCTTCACAACCTAACCTTACTAACCTTACTAACCTTCACGAACTAACCTTACTAACTAACCTTCACAACCTAACCTTACTAATCTTTCTAACCTTCACGAACTAGCCTTACTAACCTTACTAACCTTCACAACCTAACCTTACTAACCTTACTAACCTTCACGAACTAACCTTACTAACCTTCACGAACTAACCTTACTAACCTTACTAACCTTCACAACCTAACCTTACTAACCTTACTAACCTTCACGAACTAACCTTACTAATCTTACTAACCTTCACGAACTAACCTTACTAACCTTACTAACCGTCACAACCTAACCTTGCTAACCTTACTAACCTTCACGAACTAACCTTACTAACCTTACTAACCTTCACAACCTAACCTTACTAACCTTACTAACCTTCACAAACTAACCTTACTAACCTGACTCACCTTCACAACCTAACCTTACTAACCTTGCTAACCTTCACGAACTAACCTTACTAACCTTACTAACCTTCACGAACTAACCTTACTAACCTTCACGAACTAACCTTACTAACCTTACTAACCTTCACAACCTAACCTTACTAACCTTACTAACCTTCACGAACTAACCTTACTAATCTTACTAACCTTCACGAACTAACCTTACTAACCTTACTAACCGTCACAACCTAACCTTGCTAACCTTACTAACCTTCACGAACTAACCTTACTAACCTTACTAACCTTCACAACCTAACCTTACTAACCTTACTAACCTTCACAAACTAACCTTACTAACCTTACTAACCTTCACAACCTAACCTTACTAACTAACCTTCACGAACTAACCTTACTAACCTTACTAACCTTCACGAACTAACCTTACTAACCTTTCTTACTAACCTAACCTTACTAACCTTATTAACCTTCACGAACTAACCTTACTAACCTTACTAACCTTCACAACCTAACCTTACTACCTTATTAACCTTACCTAACCTTCACGAACTAACCTTACTAACCTTACTAACCTTCACAACCTAACCTTACTAACCTTACTAACCTTCACAACCTAACCTTACTAACCTTATTAACCTTCACGAACTAACCTTACTAATCTTACTAACCTTCACGAACTAACCTTACTAACCTTACTAACCTTCACGAACTAACCTTACTAACCTTACTAACCTTCACAACCTAACCTTACTAACCTTACTAACCTTCACGAACTAACCTTACTAACCTTACTAACTAACCTTCACTGGTTGGGACTTTCCCCAACCTTCACTTCCCCGGGTTTTGCTGGTGTTCTTCCGTTGCTCTCCGCCTCGAGCTCGCGGAAGAAGCTGGACAGCACCTCTTCCGAGGGCAGAGACCTGGCCCGTCGGCTCACCCGGCGGCGCAGGCGGCGTTGGAATTCGAGGGTCTCCAACTTTTTGGTTCAGGATTCAGCCAAAATCCCACAGAGGAGGGTTTCCAGCTTTAGGTTTCCAACTGTATTCAGGGGAACCCAACCTTTGGAATTCCCTGGGATCCGAAGCTAAGCTGAGAATCCGTGGGTTTCAGAATCTGGACGCTGAGAAGATTCCCACTGGCCCGAGCCAACTTTGTGCCATTCGGCCACGTGAGATGTTGCAATGGAGAGACGTTTGGGGACCGGCGCAGATCTCGTCCGATGCTTGAAGCAGCTTCTGATGCCGTCACTTCGACAAACTTTATCATTCGTTCCCGGCACAATGCCGAGGCAATCAGCGAAACGCTGCACATCAGTTCGGCTCCTTTGCATCAAATGTTGACTGGCCAAGATGGCATCCGTTTCCCTCTGCATTTTCGTATGGGTGGCCGCTGGAAACAGCACGACGCTGCACATCAACCACAAGCACTTCTTGCCACCGCAATGCTCTCTGCCAGCCACTTGGGCCCAACACGCCACTGGTGAAACTGAAGGTGAACCATGAAGTATAATCACATTGTAGCCGCTGCATGGTTGCTCAAACGGTTGAACTAGCCCAGATAGTGTTTTGTCTTGAGGCTCAGGTCACTTTCTTGAATTGGATGCTCCGGAGATGCCTGGAGGCTTAAAACCCATGACAGTTTGGGAAGCCTTCCGTGAAGTGGACTTGGAACAAGCCCCTTGTAAGATGATGCAAGACGAGCCTTGAACACCACAACGGACACAATTATGCTAGTGGTTCTGGGCAACATGTTGTTCACCGATTTCCAACCCGTCAAGCAAAGTGAGGCGGGTCCCAACAATTTGCCGTGCCTCCCCTGCCCGGCGATTTGGAGACTTGTCCAACAAAAGAACATGACACTCGGGGGCATGTCCGAACCCAGGAGTCCAACAGGTCAATTCGCTTCGGACCTACGCCCGGATCCACGGCCGTTTCCCGTTCTTTCAAGCCATGCCGGCAGCCGCGCGAGCAGCGGGAAGAAATCGGTCCTCAGCTCGGCCGATCTGCCCATCTCATCGTTCCCAGCACCGAAACGCAAGCTCGGACACCCCAAAGACGCAGCCACACGGGTGCTCCGAAAATGGATGGGTCAAACAAGCCGCCCCATGTATGTCAGGCCCTTCAATCTCAAGTCCCAAGCATGGCAGATCTTACAAAATGACTTTCGGGTTTAAAAAACGCCACACAAAAGCCCCATGTTTCAAGCGGAAACCCTTACAAAGCGACCTGACAACCCTGGGGGCATGGCTGGACCTCTTCAAACTCCACGCGAGGCCGCGGAATGAAGCTGGACTCACCTTAATCCGGTGCAGCTGTCGAATTGACAGCAAACCAACCGCAAAGCTGCGGTTGTTTGAAAGCCGCTCCTTAGCATCAGGTTTCGCAATTTGTTTGAATGCCACACCTCAGGAAAAGCTCAAGCTTTCTAAGTCTTGTCCAAACATGTGATTGGATTGGTCTCAAAGAGAAATACAGAGTCCCGTTGGATGACACTTTGCGACATCGCCATTTCTAAGTCAGCTGAAAGTCAGATGCAAGAAAGTAAGAAATGCTTTTAGTATGACCACGGTTGGTCAAGTTGCATTCTAGTCACAACGATTCTAGGTCTACATATTGTATAACAGTATGTGATTTTGATCTATTGCAAACTAAACTGAGCATAGTTTCATTGTGCGATAGGGGCAGTAATTTCTCCGATGCAGGCTACTACAAAGAAATAGGGAGCCTCAGTCTGGCCAAGGGTAAGTCCTTGTCAACCATGAGTTTGCATGTTGGTGATAGCCAAAGCTGGTACGGACGGGGGTGATGATGATTTGACCCAGTGTGACGGATCCCACTCTTGTCGGTACCCCCGCCAAGCTACGAAGATGTGTGGCGCTTGCATGCTCGCTAAGAAACTGATGTGGACTCGCAAAAGCTTTCCAGAGGTGCACGAAAACAGAGAAAGGGCCCAACTCATAAGAATGGAGTACGGTACGGCTACTTAAAACCACATATTGGCCATACCGGTCATTTAGCCCTCCGTTCGAATGGGCCTCCCGGCGGCCCCGTGCAAAGCGCATGGACCCGATCAGCGCGGATAAGGAGGACCTCGGGGCAAGCCCGCTACGTCAAATCTGGCCAAGTGTGGCCAACCATATGATACGTTGGCCAACAACGGCCAAATTTGCCCAACTCGATAAGTTTGGGGGCGGCTGTCTTTGTGCTGAGGATCGCGCCATGCACAATGATTGACAACACGTCAATCACATCAATCACATGGAATAGCAAGGCTTTCCACACGCACCATTGCAAGCATGACAATTCTTATAACTTAGTTTCAGAGTACACCCCAAACGCCCGTGTGCAGGGGAACCCTCCTGCTAGCTCTAGGCAAGCAGCCTGAAATGCACCGACTTGATTTGCATGAACACCGTTGCACACATGACGGCAAACGCCTTAAAGCCCCTCGCAAGCCACTCTTAGTTGTCTACAGCTTCTTCTGTCAGCCATGCCTACACACCTGCTCCGCTCTTGGCGGCTTGGCGCGACTGCCAAAACCGTGCGGCGACTGATCAAATGAACCTGGGCTGTCCGCAGGTCCCCGGCTAAACTTTTAGTGGGTTGAAGGGAACCCCGCGCTAAACCCTAACGACCTATAAGAATCCGCGGGGAAAGATATTCGGCTAGGGCCCTTTCAACCTACCGTCCAGTCCTTCGGCAACCAATGTTTCACAGAACAATTGCCCAGTTCGCTCTGGGATTGAATGAGGTAGATTGCTATTGGGGAAATGGGAAAAACATGAGTTGGCACAACCTGCAGACGCAGAATTCAACAAACAAACAAAACAAAACAAAACAAACAAACAAACAAACAAACAAATAAACACACCGACCAAGACAACACAGCTAACAAACATAACATAACACAACACAACGAAAACCAACATCTACACCAACAATATCCAAGCAAGCAAGCAGGCAAGAAACAAAAAACGCAAACACACCACCAACCACCCTTTTCGCCAAACCTCTCGCTGAGGGCCACACGTGCCCGTGCCCAGAAAGCTGTCCGCCTCTACGCAAAGAGTGACATCCGTCGCCACGTGGGCCGAGCTGGGGCCTCCGGAGGCAGAGTTGGCAAAGGAGAGAAGGGCTCAATCGCGGCGGGGGGTTCTCCAACAAGGGTCCAAAAATGGTCGGTGTCCCTTTGTCCGCCTCTGAACCAAAAAAAAAGGGGGCTCACCATTTTGAGCAACTTTACGCAGGTAGCAGATACTGCTCTGCTTACTGAGCTGCTTGGGCACCATGCGTCCAAACTCATTGGCAGCCTTGAACCACAATTCGTGCATCACCCGCTGGGTAGGTGGCTTGGCTCATAAGTGGATTGATGCGGTGGGAGCCGTTTGTGCACGGTTTTCAAAGGGATGCAGTTGCCGGGTCGGCCTACCTGAAGTCAAACACACACACACACACATCAAGCAACATTGGTTTGCCCATCGGATGCATAAGACCAATTTGATATGCGGCCAGCCTTCAAAAACAGCTTGCTTCATCCCCGCGAATTTCCGCTTCCCTGTACCCCCCACAGA